CTGACTAAGGAGGAAATGACACCGGTTTTATGAGACAAAGTTACACATCTTCCCCTTAGTTCTCTTGGGATGCACATAGACTCTACCATCCTGGACATGAGAAGAAAACGCCCTGATGGTAAAATAGCTAAATAAAATTAATTTTTAAAAAAGATGTCTTCTAAGAAGCCAGATGTTCGTGATCCTGCTTACAGCCTCAGATGAGATGCATCCAACACCCTGTTTTTCCCTGTCACAGAGTATGTGTGTGGGGAGGGGGGCAGCCAATTTATAGACAAGGAGACTGGAAGGACACTGTGAGACAGGCATGCTGGGGTCTGAAATAGGGGAAAGGGAGAAGCCTACTTCCAGAGCCAGCTTCCTAGTGAGATCAAACAATACATGACAACTTATCAGTGTAAGGTACATTAGAACCAGCATCGTTTACAGCCACATGAAGGAGCAGTTCTAGATGACTCCATTCTCTCTCTGAGCTATCATCAGCCTTCAAGTCTTGTCAGCTTGAGTTGGTGATTCTGATTTTGGGGCAGAGATAAGCCATCCCTACTGTACCCCTCTACCCTTTTTGTTCTTTAAACATGGCTTTGTTTTGTTACATAGCATGTTCCCACTTCTACCTCCTGCTTTCAGGGTTCTTTAAATGTCCTGTATTTATTTATTCAGGTTTTCTTTTTCTTTTCTTTCTTTTTTTTTTTTTTTTTTTTTTTTTTTTTTTTTTTTTCAGACAGGGTCTGTCTATATAGTCCTGACTGTCCTGTAACTCGCTTTGAGGATCAGGCTGGCTTTGTATCTATTTTTTAAAGTTATGTGAGCCCCCTGCTGGCCAAGTCCTGGAATAGTACAAGAGACCGTGTGGCTTGTGTATTGTTAATTTTCTCATGGCTAGGACAAAATACCAGACAAAAGCTACTTATGAAGGGAGAGTTTATTATTTTCTCATGGCTAGGACAAAATACCAGACAAAAGCTACTTATGAAGGGAGAGTTTATTATTTTCTCATGGCTAGGACAAAATACCAGACAAAAGCTACTTATGAAGGGAGAGTTTATTATGGTTCACAGTTCCAGAGTACAGTCCACCAGGGTGAGGAAGTCAAGGTGTCAGAGTGTGAAGCAGCTGCTCACACTTGAGTCTGCAGACAGGAAGCTGACGAGATGAACACTGGTCTGCGTCGGTGGTCAGCAGTTTTCCTCAGCATGGGCTGCCAGCCCCCGTGATCCACATGCCAGGTAGGTCTTCCCCTACCAGTTAAATCTGACAACACCTCCACAGACACCCAGAAGGGAGTCTCCTGGGTGATTTTAAATCTAGTGGAGTTGACAATGAAGAGCAGCCAATAACAGGGAATGGCTCCGTGAATGCACACCCCAACCCCAATACTAAGGATTGGACCCTGGCTTCTCACATGTAGACAGGCATTTCAGCACCGTGCAACATCCTCGACCCACTTTTTATGTTTTTATTTTGGAACTGGAGCTCACTAATGTTGTTTAGACTGTCCTTTAACTCATGCTGTATTTCTGGGAGGCCTTCCTCCTTCCTCAACATCACTGAACCCAGCTGAACAGTACTTACTGTTTCCAATTTAAAAATGTAAAACACACTCTTTCTTAATGTAGATGTTTCCATTTTAAACGATTTCTCCCTCTGAGTATGTCACGCCTGTAATCCAATCCCCATTGCTCAGGAGATGGAGGACGGAGGATCTGAAATTCAAGGTCAGGCTCTGCTACAGGTCAGTCTGAGCCACAGATACCCTGTCTCAAGTATATACTTTCTTTGCTGCTTCTTCATTCATTCTGATTTAGTTTGTGCCATCTTCTCTCCTATTTTCTTGAGTAGCTTGCCTAGAAAACCTACCAGCTTTTTTTTTTGTTTTTGTTATTGTACACACACACACACACACACACACACACACACTCTCACACACACACACACACTCACATACACACACACTCACTCTCTCACGGGAGAGATAATAGCAATTTCCATTAGGGGGTGCCGTGGTCTCAGAAAAGAAAATTAACTTAGCTTTTGGACTTAGAGGTGTTTTGTAACGGAAGCGGATACCTTTGTAGCCATGCATCATTTCTGGCCTTACTGTGTACAAAACTGCTTTCAGTTTTTAAGTCGAGATCCACAAATGTCTACTCCAGCACCTGTTTATCTTCTGGACCAGTGAGGGAGGATGCAGGGCTCCTTGGAGCTACTTGGGAGAAATCTTGGAGGGTTGAACATAAACCTGGAGATACTGGTTCAGATGGTCCAAACTGTGTGGTAGGGGAAGTAGATGCTTAAGTCTTTAACAATAACTGCTTACTCATCATTTTTGGTTCCATATTTTTGCAGGGGCAGGGCAGGGATATGTTAAAAGTTCAAGCTGCATACTCCTCTAAGTGCTTAGAGGACAGGTATGAGCCACAGCACAGAATCAAAGTCAGAACAACACAGGTTGCCAGTCCTGAGTGGCAAGCACCTTTGCTCTTTTTTTTTTTTTTTTTTGGTTTTTCGAGACAGGGTTTCTCTGTGTAGCTTTGGAACCTATCATGGCACTCGTTCTGGAGACCAGGCTGGCCTCGAAGTCACAGAGATCCACCTGCCTCTGCCTCCCGAGTGCTGGGATTAAAGGCGTGCGCCACCACCGCCCAGCATCCAGCCCTTTTTTTATTTTATTATTTTGAGACAGCCTTGTCATGTAGCCTAGGCTGGCCTCAAACCCATATACATCTGAGCATGGCCTTGAACTTCTGATCCTCCTGCCTCACCTCCCAAGCACTGGATACCACCTGGTTTATGCTGTGCTGGGAACCTAGCCCAGGGCTTCCTGTTTGTGAGGCCCACACACTACCAACTAGAGCCACACCCCAGCCCTTTCATTGGCCAGAATCGTTTCCGTCCTTTCTCTTCTCTCCTATTATATTGTCAGACTGTCTGGGAACAACTCACGTTATCTCTGGACGCTGTTTCTCAGCTTGGGAACAAATGGCTGACTTAATAATTTTTGTGGTGAAAAGACAAAGTGATATGCACTCCCATGCCATAGGTTGGTTCTCTCCCTCCATCTTCGGTTTCTGCCTGTCTCCCACCCCCATCTAGGTGGAAGAGAGCACTGTGGCTCCAAATATGGCTGGATTCTTTATTCGGGTTCTGGGATCAAACAACTCAGGTCATCAGATTTGTTCGAAAGTATTTTTACTCACTGAGCCATCTTTCTGGTCTCTCTGGGTATATTTTGCTTTAGTTTGTTTTGAGACAGGATCTCATTATGTAGCCATAGCTGAACTGAAACTATGTACACTGGTTGACCTCAAACTCACAGAGATCCATCTGACTCTGCTTCCTGAAGGCTGGGATTAAAGGTGTTCACCACCACACCCATTCCTTTGGGCTCTCTTAAACTAATAACAATGTTAAAATTATTGAGCCCTCTTTGTATAAAATGCCTACCATGATATGTTATGCATAGTTAATGCTCAAAACTAGGATAGTCTTCATTTCCCATGGAAGGTCACAGAAGCCTGGGCACTTCCATAAGACCTCAGTTTCCAAGGACATCCAGAACTTCACTCAGACGATTTGACTCCAGGATGGACACTGGTGGTTGTCCCCACTTAGCTCCATGTTTACACACTGCCCACAGAGCTAAGGAAAACTGCCTTAAGAACCGGTAAAGAAGACAGAAATTCTCAGCAAAATATGGGTGCAGAACTGTCACTTTGCCTCCTGTGGACAAAATGGATATTCTAGAGCAGAGACAGTCCTTGGCCCTAAAATAACTCGCCTCTCCATCACTCTAGAGAGTAATGAGAATCATGGGGACAAAGCACACTCATCTACTTTCCTACGTCACACTATCAAGCAGTTAACTGTGAGAGCCTGTAACAAGGGCTGTTCTTGCCCCGTTATCTAGAAGGGTCAGGAGTGTCCTCACGAGGGTGTGTTGGATGGGATAAAGATTTTAGGGGAAGAAAAAACTAACAATTATCTCCCCCTGAATTTTGGAGGTAGAATCTCAAGTAACCCAAGCTAGCTCCAAACTTGTAGCAATTCTCCTGTTTCAGCATCCCAGCCAAGTGCTGGGATTATAGGTGTGAGTTACCACAAGCAGCTTGCTTTTTTCTTTTTTTTTTCCAGTAACAATTTTATTTATCCCCCTAATTCTTACCATGGGAAAACCAGGAATCAAATGTCATTATGTCATCTAAAGATAATAATTACTTTAAACAAAAAATGTAACATAGTGTTAAAACTGGCTTTCACAAAGTGTTACAGCGTAGCTGCACTATGTACTAGTATCACAAGGCGCTAATGCAGAACGCTCTCATGCAGTTCCATTGCGTTCTTACAAAAATAGAATTAAACTGTGCGACCAGACAAGGACTTCAATTACACTACTTGGCAAAACCTTGGTATTTCAATGGAGTCTATTTTCTCTTGCAGTTCAAAAGCAAAGTCAAATATCACATCTAAGCTCCACCTGCCTCTGCCTCCCAAGTGCTGGGATTAAAGATGTGCATTACTACTGCCCAGCACATAATAAAAAAAAATTATTTTTAAAAATTTGTTTATTATGTGTATAGTGTTCTGCCTGCATGTTGCCTGCAGGCCAGAGGAGGGCACCAGATCTCATTACAGATGGTTGTGAACCATCATGTGGTTGTAGGGAATTGAACTCAGGACCTTTGGAAGAACAAGCAGTGCTTTTAACCACTGAGCCATCTCTCCAGCCCACAGCTTGCTTTCTTTAAAAAAAGAAGGCTGGAGAGATGGCTCGGTGGTTAAGAGCACTGGCTGCTCTTCCTGAGGACCTGGGTTCAGTTCCCAGCAGCCACATGGCAGCTCACAGCTGTCTATAACTCCAGTTCCAGAAGATCTGGCATCCTCACATAGACATATATGCAGGCAAAACATCAATGCACATAAGATAAAATTTAAAAAAAATAAAGAGATTGTATTTTTAATGATATGCTATGTCAGAAGAGAGTGTCAGATCCCACGAAGCTATAGTAATAGGTGGTTATGAGCCATGGGGGCTGGGAAACTGAACGTGGGTCCACAGGAGCAGCAAGCACTTAACCACTGAGCCCTCTGCCAGCTCCCTTCCCCCTCTACGCTTTCTTTTTAAACCAGCATCTATTAATTATATAAAAGTGGTTTCATATTCTGATCATATTTACCCTCTTATCCCCCCAACTCCCAATGAACCCCCTCTGCTCCCCAACAAGCCCCCCTCCCACGTTATGTGGATGTTTGTTGTTTGCTGAGATGAGGTCTCATTCATTATGTGACTGTCCTGGAACTCACTATGTAGACCTGGCTGACCTCAAATTCACAGATACACCTGCCTCTGCCTCCTAAGTGCTGGAATTAAAGGCACCACCATGTCCTTGTGTGCGTGTAAATGTGTATATGTCCTCCTGAACTCAGAGTTGCTTGTGTGAATGGGAGGTTATTTCCAAGAACATGGGCAGTCTACCAGTGGCTAGCTACAACACTAAAGAAAAAGGGCTTGCCCTTCTCCAGCAACCATTAACTGCCAGTGACTCCACATAATGGGTGGGGCCTTGTGAGCCCCTCCCCCAGCAACCGTTAACTGCCCATGGAAGGAGTGGGGGCCTCATGAGTCCCTCATTTTTTTTAAGATAGGGTCCTACTATGTAGCCCAGGCTGATCTTGAACTTGAGATCCTCCTGCTCTGTTCCCACTGTGAATACTGGGATCACAGGCATGCACAGCCATATCTGGCTCTGAAGTATATACTTCTTTGGACAACTTGTTTTTTTTTTTTTTTTTTTTAAACTTGAGACTATATAACTGAAATGTTCTTTAGTTCTAACACCCGGTACATGAGTACATCGGCTTAACAGAAATTTCGATGAGTCTCAGAGGGTTTCTTAGTTTTATAGCTAATAGGTTTGGGCATCATCACTTGATTCTCCCGAACCTGGTGCAAATCTTACACTTTCATCATTCCTGCTCAGTTTCCTACTCTAGGTCCTGATTTGCCATATCCTAACCAAAACTATGAACCTATGTTCCTGGGTTCTGTGACTGTAAAGTGATGGAGGAGACAGGAGCCACTGAAGGACCAAGGACAAGACAGACATTTCCTTCTGGGAGCAATCAAGTTGCTGGCTTCCTAAGCACCGTGCCTTTGTTATTCTGTAACCAGTGTTTTACTGTGCTCTGTTCCCACTGAGCATTTACAGTGTCAAGATATGTCATTCACTTTATCCTACACTTTACAAAGCATGTCGTCTCTACAATATGTGACGACCACTGTTTATCGAAGGGAAGCCAGTGGCTTAAGCCATATAACAGCACGTTGAATAAGGACTCCTCCCTGTTTCTAGTTCTATGGCTAGATCATTATACCACCCTGTCTCACAAACTCAGCTCTTGGTGTCCCAAAGCTTGTTTAAATAGTTGACGATGTCATTCAGAGACAACCCGGAAATCCTGAAGCGGGGCTAACTTATGTTGGGAAAAGAGGCAGCTGCTTCTCAGCTCATTTTTTTCACGTTTATTCTGTCCTCTATGCTCTAAAAGGAAAATGAACCTAGGTTCCAAAGAGAAAGGGAGGGGGCAGTGTGAGCCACAGAAGGTAGGCAACCCCTGCTGATTGGGAGGTACTCCCAGAAGGCTTCCCTTCTACAGTTGCCAAGCAACAAGTGTAAACAGGACAGGATCATGGCCACTAACTACAGTGCCAATCAGGTAAGTTCTCGTTCTATCCCCTAGCTTTTGATTTTACCTTCCAGATGCAACCTTCAGGCCTACCCCTCCATCAGATCCTGGTCCCTAAATAGACGACAAGTGAGTTGAGGTGGGGTTTCAGGAACAAGCAAAAAGGACCTAAGTTAAGCTTGTAGAGTGTAAGCCAGGAGGCGATGATTTTATTTTTACAGGCCAGAGTAAATACTTTAGGCTTTTTTGTAAGTCAAATAACAAAGTCATAGCTATTTAGATGAAAGTTAGTTTGCTTTGGAAAAAATTCAAGACATAGTAACTGAGGCAAATGTAGAGGTGCTCCCCAGTGATCCCAAGACTCTGGAGGCAGAAGCAGGAGAATCAGGTAGGTGTTCAAGGCACCCTTGGCTATATACTGAATCCAAGGCGAACCTGAGCTCCATGGGACCTGCTCCCTGCCCCCAAATCTGGCCATGGTGGTACATACCTGCAATACCAGTACTTAGGACAAAAAGGCAAAATAATCACTGAAAGTTTAAAGCCAGTCTGGCCTACATAGGAAGTTCCAAGCCAACCAGAATTTGGTAGTGGGACCATGTCTGCACATTTTAAAAATTATTTTGGAGAAAGAATTTTGTTCGCTTGGAATTCAAAGTTTAGTATTTTTTCTTCTTCTTTTATGTGTATGTGTGTAGGGGGGTGGCAAGGTCTTGCTACTATGCAGCCCACATAGACAGGCCCACAAAGTCATAAATCCTCCTACCCCACTCTGGGAAGTAACGGAATTACTGGTGTGTGTGTGATCATGGCCAACTACCTTCTGTTAAGGCAACACAAATGCTTGTAAAAAAAACAACAAAAAAAAACATTCTTTTGTAGGTTTTGTTTTGTTTGTTTGTTTTTGTTTTTCCAGACAGTGTTTCTCTGTGTAACAGTCTTGGCTGTCCTGGAACTCACTTTGTTGACCAGGCTGGCCATTCAAAAGCAGGAAGCAATATAGACTTAGTTACTTACTCTTAGTCTAGTCTGGCATTGCCTGACAGAGTGGGTCACAAACATAATTTTAAAGGTTTTAGCAGCTATGTGAAAATTAAAAATTAAATTTAGTAATGCTCAAGTGAAACCCAATAAACCAAAATATTTTAACATTTAACTATTTTTTAAATTATTTAAAAAAAATATCTGCCCCCCCACCTCTCTCTCATTGTTGTTGTTTGAGATCCGCCTTCCTCTGCCTCCCAGGTGCTGGAATCAAGGCCACCACTGCCTGGCACACACATCTCTCTTATACCAGTTCTTTAAAATCCCCCCCCCCCCCCCCCCCTCCGCCCACTAGTCTGAGGATCAAACCCTGGGCTCTGTAAATACTAGAGAAGCATCCACCACTGAGCTTCACCCCCAGCATTCCAGGGCTTCATATTTAGAAAGTGCCTCAGGTTACCCGTTGCTTTTCACATGTTTAACATATGGCCAGTTGCTACATGCTGGGCAACACACATGCTGAGCAAACAGATTATAACCTTATACTTGCTTTGTAGGCACAAGATCCTGGGTTTGATCCAAAGCTAGGCAAAAACACAAACATTTTCTTCCCTGTCTTTAATGTCTTCTCTTTTTGTATGAACTTTCTTCTTTCTGCATTGCTTTTAGGTTAGAGACCTATTGCTTTTAGCATAGAGACCACTGGGTACTGTGAGGACGTCCCCATACACAAGTGTCAACTTCTCAGTCCCTCCCTCTTCCCCTCTGTCTCCAGCTGGTTTTTCTTCTTCCCAGATGTAGTGCCCACTTCTGCTTTCTTTTTAATCCATCACTTAGTTCCCCCCTCCCTTAAAATCTCTTCCACCCTTGTCACAGTGAGTTAAGAGTTCACATAATTGTTGAGGCCTTTGGCTTTCAATTACAGAGAACTGTGCCACCATTTCATGAGCTTAAGCCTTTGAACCGCTTCTTTTTCTCCACAGTATGAAAAGCCTTTCTTACCCAAGTACCTGCAGAACTGGTCTCCTGCCAAGCCAACAAAAGAGGTATTCCAAGCTCGGTGCCCTCCAAGGCCAGTGTATGATGACTGGCCTCATGTTCTCCCAGTCACCCGTCTAACTCCTTACCTTCTAATGGTCCACCTTCTCTCCCACACCTTTGCTCCAAGCCCCTCAGACACTTTGTTTTCCTCCCTCTTTTGCTTCAAGTGTTTTTCCTTCCGCCTCCACCACAGAGAATAGCTACCCATGAAGGTTACACTCAGATTATTGCCAACGACCGAGGTCACCTCTTGCCTTCAGTGCCCCGTTCCAAGGTGAGATTCCCACGTCCATTCTTATCAGAAAGGTAAGAGTTAGCGAGGTGTGGTGGTGCACGCCCTTAACCCCAGCACTCAGCAAGCAGAGGCAGCTCTCTCTGAGTTTGAAGTCAGTTTGGCCTACATAGTGAATTCTAAGCCAGCCAGGACCATACAGAGAGATGCTGTCTTGAAACAAAACAAAAAAGAGCTGATGCATGAGAACGGAGCTACAGTCACGGTATAGAAAATGAAAGTCCAACCTGTGAGTGCCCCAACCTTCTATCCAGTGGTCCACCAACACAGAGCACATGAAGTCCTGAAAATGGTGACTATATAAACAGTATCTTCAGATGACAATACGTATGCACAGGACTCCTTTATCACACTTAGCCTAAGAATGCAAAGTTTAAGCTGGAAGGAAAGGGGCTGAAGAACTGCATTGTGACTAACTGGAGAGAGGAAGAGTAGGGAAATGGTCATTATTAAGATGCCAAAGGGACAGAATGGATGCGATGCCAGCAAGCCCTGCTAAGGGGACACTTAGCAGCCATGAGGCCCTGCTGAACAATCCCTTTTTCTTTTAGGCGAGTCCTTGGGGATCCTTCATGGGCACCTGGCAAATGCCCCTGAAGATACCACCTGCCCGGGTGACCTTGACCTCCCGCACAACAGCTGCTGCCACCTCCCTTACCAACTGGATACAGAAGAACCCTGATCTACTGGCTGCCTCCAATGGGCTTCGCCCTGAAATCTTAGGCAAGGTATCTAGCCTTCCATCCAACCCAACCCCTGCCGTCTCCATGTCTCTCCAGCCTCAAAACTGGTATGCCATTCCAGCAAGGGGAGGGACCTCTAACCAATTCCGTCTTGTGCTTGTCTAGTCCCTAATTACTAAGGTCTGAAGGAACCAAACAAAGCCATCTTGTTCCCCACCCCTACCCTAGTAGAAAACAGTCTCCAGGGGGAGGTCAAATTTAACTATTCTCATCCGAAACTTGACCTTCTGTTCATGGTATAGAAAGGAAGGGAGTCAGATTCTGAGGCTGACCGGGGATTATCTAAACCAGAAATATGATCTTTTTCCACTCTAACCTCACAGCCCCACGACCCTGACAACCAAAAGAAACAGAAGAAATCTGTCACAAAGACTGTACAGCAAGCAGAAAATCCCACTATAATTCCCAGTTCCCCAGCTATGGACGTCGACAACGAAGATGAAACTCAAAGCTCACATCCCTCTGCAGGTCACACGCCAGGTCCCTCATCTCCAGTTAACTCTCCCAAGGCCCCACCTGCAAGCCCATGTTAGAATACCAAATACGTAGGTCCTAGTCTAGCTGAGATCAAGACATGCAAAGCTGCAACTCTGCAGGGAAAGGGCCTGAGGTGACATTTTAGGGACTGACTGGAATAGTAAAACCCTGTATTCAGAAACATGGAGCAAAAAAATGATGGGCCAGGGATAAAGGCAAATTTGGGCGAATAGAATAAACATTGTTTGTTAAATCTTTTACTGACCTGGGTTTTCTCCTCATTCTATGACTGTCTTTGCAGTCTTTGTCCATAGTTAAAGGGAAGCCTGGGGAAGTAGTAGGGAAAAGGACAGCAAGTCTTTTTTATTTTAGTTTTCTGAGACAGGACTTCTCTGTGTAGCCTCGGCTATCCTGGAACTCACAGTATCGGCCTGCCTCTGCCTCCCAGATGCTGGGACCAAAGGCGTGCGCCACCACCACCCAGCAAGAAGGTCTTAATAGAGAATGTCAGTTACACTTCTGCAATGACCAAGAGGAAGCTGGTCTGCATCACACAAGGGCAAACCCCAGGAGAACCGAACTTTGTACAACCAGTATCTTCAAAATCACAAGTACAGTTGTTCTAGGAGAACATGTGAAACTTTTTATGATCACGTTTATCCATTTCCTTATTGAATGTATGTAGGTATGCCTCAAGCTTGTGGAGGCTGAAAGAAAGTTGGTTCTCTCCTTTTGCCACGTGGATCCTGGGGATCCAACTCCAGTCCTCGGGCTTGGTGATTGGAGTATATACCCACTGTGCTATTTCAGACACATCAGCCCAGAAGTAGAAAAAGCAGCAAGCCAGGTGCTCCACTTCAATCACTAGCTGGTTAAGAAGCCAGCAGGAGCCTAGAAGGCCCCATCCATCTCCCAGCTCCAAATCTGTTCCCATTGCCCCCGCTGTGCATCTTTCTGGCACTGGTTGTTAATTTATGCCCCTGCCAAGTCTAAAGCCAAAGGCTTTTCCCCATGAACACTGACCCTACTCAAAGAACAACCTAGGAGACAGCTGACTCAAGCTGGAGGGACTCTACACAGCCTCCCAGGATTGTCAGATGTGGTGACAATTCCAGCTACTTGGGGGGCTGAAGCAGGTACCATCAGTTCAAGACCTACCTGGTCTTAAGTAATTTGGTAAGGCCTGTCTCAAAGTGAAAATATAGTAAAACAAAAAACAACAAAAAATGGGGGCTGGGGTTATGGCTCTGCTTGCCTAGCATTAAAGGGCCCTTAGGTTCAAACAATCCCTAGCAACACAAGACTCCCCAGGGCCTGTCTAGAGACAAGGGGCAAGGGATCATTACTTAAGGCCAACAACTACTTGGGAGCAGGAATAGAGATGGCCGAGAGCTGAGAGTGGTGGTAACATGTACTCGGGCAAAAGCAGTATCTCACCAACTGGAGGGTAACCTGGGTTAAGAGTTCTAGGCCAGTCAGGGATACATGGTGAGGCCCTTTCTCATCCTCACCCCACCCCCACTGCCATCACTGAGTTCATGCTGTTGTCCTGTTCAATTGCTATGCCATTCTCCAATCCACTGCTTATACTGATCTCTTAAAGTAGTGTTTTTCCTGGTCTGGGAATTAAACTATTGGCTTTGTGCATACCACCATGGAGCCAAATACCTAGTCCCAAGATGACTCTCCTATTCCAGAGCTGGAAAAAATATCAAAATAGCACTCCTAGCTAAGGGACTAGTTCAGTGGTACAGTGCTTGTTAACATGTACAGGACCTGGCAACAAAGACAAAGCACTCCTGCTAAGGATTCAGAGTCCCAATAGGGTAAAATAGCAAGTTTTCCCATTATATATATTTTCTAGGATTCTGACATCCCACAACCCTGCTCCACTTTAAAAAACTCTCTAACCCCCAAACCTCCCTCCCGCCTGTAGGTCGTTAGCCCTCAGCTGTCACCTCCACTGGTGCTAGGTGTCCTTAAATGAAGTATCTGCTGAACTGTACCATGAAGTATAAAGCTAGATATCCACAGGATGGGAAGTGACCTTGTAAGACCTTAAAATCTCTCAACAGAGCTAGGCAATGATGAATTTAATCCCAACACTCGGGAGGCAGAGGCAGGCAGATCTCTAGGAGTACAAGGCCATCCTGGGCTAAAGAACAGTAAAACCTGGGCTAAAGAAAAAAGAAACCAAAACAAAAAAAACCTCTCAACATGCTTAGCTGCCCCATCTCTGCTCTTCTCTGAGGCCTCCTTGTAGTACCTAAACCTTTTCACTACTTGTATGTAATTACCTCAAGTTCTCTCCCTCCCCCGCAGTGGTCAGTTGTAGGACAAACTATTTCCATTCTAGGAAGTCATACTTTAGGTGTAAATGCCCAAGAACCAAAGGAAGGGGCACAAATGAGATCCTTTCTAGTAACCCTCACCAGATTTCAAAGAATGAAACATGAAATGAGAAGTATTTTAATCATTTCCAAAGAAGATGGTACAAGAATTTAGATTAGAAAACATGACATTAAAGGTGTGTTTTACTAGAAGTGAAAAACAGAACAGAAAACACATTGGATCTTCCTCATCCATCAAAAGCTCCATCTATATCTTTTCCCAAGCATGAGCTCCCCAGATCCAACTCGCTCTTTCTCTCCCTCTAGCTGGGCAGAGCCATTCCCTCCCTCCACCTCTCTTCTCTCAGGCACACTGTGTGGGCGCTAAAGGCCCTGAGCTGACCAATGAACCGAACTGTCCTTTAAGCCAGCAGCCCACAGGCAGTGGCACCAAGGGCAGCCACAGGACTGCCATTGTTTCCACTGTCTCAGCAAGAAGGAGTCGAAAGCTGACCCTCAGCACAAATCAAAGTCAAATGTGGATTGGGAGTAAGGGCTCCAGGCCCAGGGAAAATGACCTTTTTCTACTACTACAGGTCTTCAAGCCTCTCTACTGAGCTCCAGTGGGATCTGAAGCACATGGCATCTAAACAAATCAGGGGAACCTTGGTGACTGGGGATAAGAGTGATAAATGGGAATATAAATCAGTGTGATAATGTATAGGACGATGATGGGAATTTCAGCTCTTCACATGGCTGCCAGCCCTACAGAGGACAGCACAGCAAGCATCAAGACAGCCACTCCAGACTGATAGACCTGGGAGATCGACAGGCCTTTCCCTAGGTCCCATATCTGTAGAAAATAAAAGAGGGAAAGTTTTTATTTTTAGTAATTAGAACCCCAGTCATTCCTGTAATTCCTGATGAATAGGTATCTCCCTTATAAGGGATTCCAGAGAAAAGTACTACATCCCTATGACCCAATTTCACTCTTCTAAAAGTCACAATACAGTACCTACCTACCACCACTCCCCCAGTGACTGAAAATCAAGTCCTCTCATGTGGTAGTGATATGACGGTGAATGTGCTCCAGAATGCCAAAGGCCTTTATACACAGCTTCCAGACTGTACAGATAAAACATCCTCCCTCCATGGGACAGCACACTTAGATCAATGTTTCCAGAAAGATAGTCCTTCAAAACATAGTTTTGTTTTTTGAGACGGAATCTTGTATAATCCAGACTAGCCCAGAAGTCACCATGTAACCCAGGGTGAACGCAACTCAAGATAGTCTTGCTTAAATTTCCTAAAGTGCTGGAATTATGGGCATGCCCCAAGTCTGGCCCAAACATATTTCTGCACAGTGGAGGGCATTATGTGGAAGTGGTAAAGTTCTGTGCTGACATAAACTTGGTAAACACATAACTTGCAAGTTTCTCAAGCAATTCCCTAACGCAGCCTGAGAATCTCCAGTAGAGTCAATCACAGAATTCTTTAGGGAGTGTGTCCTCAAAGGCTAATACTTTCACGAATGTATTCTGGGATCAACAACTGATAATGCCTTCCCTCCTTCTCTGTGGAGAGGTGGTCTCATGGATCCCAGGCTAGTCAAGGAAAACCCTGAACTGATCCTCCTGCCTCTACCTTCTCAATGTTGGGATTACATTTCCCAGTTTATCTGGTGCTGGGGAGCAAACTCAGGGCTTTGTATATTCAAGGCAAGCATTCTACCAACTGAGCTATCTATCTTCCTCATTTTAATTCCCCCCCTCCCTCCCTCCCTCTCTCCCTCCAAGGTTTCTTGGTGTACTGCTGGATGTCCTGGAACTCACTCTGTAGACCAGGCTGGCCTCAAACTCATAGAAATCTGCCTGTCTCTGCCTCCTAAGTGCTGGGACTTAAGGCATTCGCCACCACTGCCCAGCCTGTGGGTTTTTTGTTGTTATTTTGGTATTTTTGTTTTGTTTTACATGATTTCCTATATATCCCTGATTGGCTTGGAATTCTGTAGGTAAACCAAATTGGCTTCAAGCTCATAGGAATCTGCCTGCCTGAGTACGGGATTAAAGGCATGAACCACTGCTCCCAGCAGGACCGTAACTTTCAATTTCTTCTTTCATTCTCTCCCATCCAGGACTTCACTATATTGACCCAGGATATACTCAAATTCCTGGGCTCACGACATCCTCCAACCTCAGGTTCCTAAACAGCTGGGATCACAGGCACTTTCAACCATGCCTGACTCTCAAAAGTTATTTTTTTACTATGACCCCACTAAAATATCCTTTAAATTGGAACAAGTAGAAACATATATATAGTACAAATTTATGAACATTTAAATTCCTTCTTTTCAGTCTTCAACTGTTTTTGTTGGTATCAATCCACTAAGCACTAAGTGGTTGTCCACGAAGAACGGGGTATCTTAGTGGTAAGACACTTGCCTTTTATTATGTCTAACTTGAGTTGGACCTCCGCACCAAAAAGAAAACAAACAAAACCAAAGCCTAGACTCTCATGCTCTCTCAGGCTGTGAACACTTAGGGCAGTAGTTCTCAACTTGTGAGAACTACTCCCTCCCTCTCTCCCTCCAAGGTTTCTTGGTGTACTGCTGGATGTCCTGGAACTCACTCTGTAGACCAGGCTGGCCTCAAACTCATAGAAATCTGCCTGTCTCTGCCTCCTAAGTGCTGGGACTTAAGGCATTCGCCACCACTGCCCAGCCTGTGGTGGGTGGGGCCCAAGGACCTTTTTACAGGGGTCAAATATCAGGTATCCTGCTTATCAGATATTTACATTATGATCCATAACAGTAGCAAAATTACAGTTATGAAGTAGCAACAAAACAATTTTATGGTTGTGGGTCACCACGGAATTGTATTAAAGGGTCGAAGCATTAGGAAGGTTGAGAACCACACTGCTCTGAGGTGAAAAGCAGTGTTCAGGTTTGAAACTCAGCACACAAAGCAGCCTCAACATATACTAACACAGGAACCTCTATAGTCTGACCATAAAACTGACTCAATCAGGAGTCCCTGCAGAGAAATACTGGAGGAAGCCCAGAAAGAAATCAAGGGGAGAGGATATGCTCACGTCAGTGCCTGGCTAGCTTCTACCTAGATGACATGAAGCATTGGGCAGATCCCACACAGAGTGGCTTTGCTCACAGAGGCACCGAGTCCTGCTGGGTAGTAGTGGTAGGAGAAGCCTCTGGAAGGTAGGTCAAAGGACCTACAGTTCCTCCTTTATAACTATAGCATTTCCCTGTCCTGGTAGACCTTCCAGCCAGGCAACTGATATGATACACAATCTTGTGGCAAATTAAAGCCTGACCCTCATCCAG